AGCAAGGGCTCGGCTGGGCCCGCCCCCACGCCCGGAAGGAGGATCTGCTGTGCAATTAGGATGAACCATTACGGCACAAAGGATCGGCCGCACTCCCTGTTCACCTGCAGTTTGAGACAGCCAAACTTCTCCAGCAAGCGTTGGTTGAAACCTTCAGGACTGTAATTCACTGCGCTCAGCGCATCTGCAGGCCTAGCAGAAGCACCAGCTCATGAGCAGATGCCGTGTAGCACGCGGGCAAGCTGTCTCGCGGAGAGCCCCGGCTCAGAGGAACGGAGCTGGAGCGATCCAGTCTTTCCTCGATAAAAGCACGAAAAGTAATCTTAACGGGCACGCAAGACAGCATACCCTACAACTATCTACTCAAACCTGTTTCTGCATCATGGGATTTGGGCAAATGGTGTGATGGTTATGAGCTTCCAGAACTGAGCATCTAACTGGCTGAATCCATGCGTACAACGTACAGTGAAGGACTGAAAAATAAAAAATAAAATCAAATCACTGTCCTCCCAAAGGACAGTGCTACACCCAGGCCAACAAGACACTGAATTCTGCTGTCATCCTGCCTACCAGACACCAAGACCCATCTCTTGAGTTCTGCTGTGGAGGTGGCAGCACGGCCAGCCTCCAACTCTACTGCCGTAGACGTAAACCATCTGCATCCCAAGACACCTGACTGCCTTGCGCTCTCTTTGCGTGTGAACTTACCAAGGAGCAGAACATTGCCACTGTACGTAGCTGGGCTTCAGTTCTAAAAGATTCATGGCTTTCTTAAATCAATCTTCTGCTTCAGATCAGATGGAAGAATTACTCTTTGAAGATTACATATGTTATTTTGCAATTCAGGCCCGTTTTCCCTAGAGTATTGTTTAAAACTATGGCTAAGCGTTTTCTTTCCTTTTTTTTTTTAAAGTGGGAAAGCTATAAGCTTTACAACATAGCTTATTAAAAAAGCAGAATAAAGCATTTTGCTCCAATTTTAAAAACAAAGTCACATAAGAAAAGTTACACTACACTGCAGTCTAAAACATGACTATTTTGGAAAACAACAGCGATCCCTACTCAAAGGTCTTCTGCAACCTTAGAACACTTACATATGTGCCAAAGGCATCACCAAACACCTCCCTATCCCAATTATAAAATACTCCAGGCGCCAAACATACAGAAAATTACTGATCCACAGCCAGCTCCTTAAGTGATGTCAGTCAAGCCAGTGCCACTCAAGTTGGCAGAGTTGTGGGGAACATTTGTTTTGCACTGTTTGAGCTTTGTTTTGTTTTAAAGTCAAAGGGACTTTGGCCATTAAAGCTAGCTGAATCACCATAGGCACACATTCCCGAAAGACACGTATATATATAAAATATATATATTTTTTTCATTTTGATAGCTCACCCTGTAACTTTAACTGTTCTTTTAACATGCGAAACGTCAAAAGCCCTCCCTTTGAAACCCTGCACGTACCGTACAAATCTGTGCTCTGAAGCCAGATCTTTAGTGGATGATAACTGATCTCCCTTCACCAGCTTCGTCAAAGACAGGCTGATTTGCAATATATATAAAATATATATATTTTTTTCATTTTGATAGCTCACCCTGTAACTTTAACTGTTCTTTTAACATGCGAAACGTCAAAAGCCCTCCCTTTGAAACCCTGCACGTACCGTACAAATCTGTGCTCTGAAGCCAGATCTTTAGTGGATGATAACTGATCTCCCTTCACCAGCTTCGTCAAAGACAGGCTGATTTGCACAAGCTGAGCCTACAGCTTCCACTGCAGAGACTACGCCTGAGCTAGCGCTCTCAGGAGGCCAGCTCAGTGTGATTTGTCCCCAGATACCTTTTATTCCTTTCTATTTTCACAAACTTTTCAACAGTATCCCCAAACAAAGCCCTAATCCAAAGCCTAACATTTTAATGCTGTGCAAGTGTCTTTGCAGACTCCAGGATCGATTACGCCTCAGCAGCACAGAGGAAAGTGCCAGAAGTACCTCGCACTGAGCCTGGCCCAGCTGAACAGGAGCCAGCACCCTGTCCTGCTGGAGACTCATCCATCTGGTGCAGCTGTTGCCTCAGCTAGAGGAAAGGTCAGCAATTAAAAAGGACTAATTTAGGGGAGGAGGACAAGCCAAATGAAAAAGGAAGCGCTTTCCAATCAGAGCTCCCCCCACAACTACTTGCTGCATGAGAAAAGCTCAAGCTAGCAGAGCCACAGCAGGGAAAGGGAAGCCAACCACTGCAGCCTGCCAAAAGCCTGTGAAGCCCTTTCTTCACACAGCACTTGCACCACAGCAGTGCTCAAGCCATCGTTACCTACAGCTGCAGGTTCCCTGGCACGAAGCACTCGCACACACGAAAACAAGGCAACCTCACCTAGCAGGGAGCACACCCCAGGCCCTTCTCAAGCTGCCGGGACCCCACTCAGCAGCTGCACACACCCTACGCTTGGGAGCTTTGAAACCCTGCCTAATTTTCCCAAATCTTCTGCTTATCTCCTCAAAATCAGCAACGCTGAATTCTTAAAAGAACTTTAATAGAACGTTTTCAGCCAGGAAGATGCTCAAAGTACATTCAGGTCATCAGGTACCACGTGTGCACAGCAGCACAGTCTAACAGTTATTCGATTTACCAATGTTTGAAACGCAGGCGGTTATGTCTCAAGCAGCACAGGCCAGGAATTACCAGGAAAATCAACGAGCAGCACAGAGCGATCGCAGGAGAGCATAATGCACTGGTGCAAACGGGTGCAGCACATTAAAGAGCGGCTAACCCCATAACCCTTCTGTTCCTGTGAGCAAGGCGTAAAATCCAGACAGGTTACAGGGAGCTGAGATCCTCTAAGTCTCTAAATCACAGGGAGACACCTGCTCTTTCCACCTCAGATATCCTGTGGCCATCAAGACCTCTTCCTTTCTGATTACTAGGAAAGGACTTTCCCACCTGTTCCAACCATTTTATAAAAATAATCTGTTAGCAGCTTCATTATAAAGGTTACAGTAGCAAACAGTATATTAAATAGGGACTTCTACAGCCAAAAGGCTGAAGAAACACTGAAATGAGACCAATCCCCCAACCTGAATTTGTCCCTGCTCTATACAGAGTACAGTAAGGTGCATGCGCGCTTTAGAAAACCATTAGCAATGAAAATCTCCCTTTACCTAATCCCTTGTTTCACACCATAAAACGTTAACAGAGGTATTATTTAACTCGAACAGTGGACTTTGCTTTCTCATTGTCATTCTAAAACACACAAGCATCATTACGATCAGATGTGTTGGTCCAGTTGAAATCATCAAGGCTAAAAGATTAACACCTACAGTTTACCAAGCATCACTTAGATGATCTACTACTGTCATTACTAGCATGCATAGCTACTTCCTAATCCAGTCCAGCAAAACACTTTGCATTAGCTCAGAAGTTCTTAAGCAGACCTGAAATACGTACATATACATATATAAATACATCTATAAATACAAACTGGGAGGACCATTTTGACAGCACTGGGATTATGCTGGCAAATTCAAGGGAATGGAAACCTCAAATGGGAAAGGAAGGAGAGCAGCAAGCAACACTAGATGTCACAACTCCAGCGAGCTGGCAGCATCAGCAAGTGCTGCAGCTTGCATGACAGCTGGAGACCATCAGACACTGGCCCTGATTGCTTTCCAGAGCAGGAACTCTCCAAAATATACAGGTCCTAAGGGCAGCATCTGTATAACGCAGCGCTGTTAGGCCTGTTGCTAAGCATTTCTTGTGTGGTTTTTCCCATCTCCTGCTGTCATTTGCCTGTTCTCACTGCTCTCATAATTCTGATTTTTGGCCTACTTTCCAAACTG